GGGCAGGGGGCGAAGACCATTCCAGTATTTCTGATTTAACATCTCTGATTTGAGATTCGTACATCAGGGGAGAAAAAAGGAACAGGTCTCTTGCCAATAGGCTACGGTAGAAATATAATCATGAAACTTTACAAAAAGCCCAAATCAGAAACACATTGTAAAGATAATAAAAGGTACTATGCCCTGCCGATCAATTTTCTTAAGTAATCTTTTCATGTTCTGTGGAAATTATAGACATAGCTATTCTCAATAAATATGTGATTTTGATGGAGAAAAGCCCAGAGCTGGCATGAAATTCACCTCTACCAGTTGGTTTTTAGATGTTTCTAAAACAAAATAGAGCAGACATCATTTCAAAGCTCTGAGAAAGTGAGCTGCTTCAAATAGGCAACAAAAACAAATGAAACACCTGCAAAACCCTCAGAGAAACATCTGTAGCATCATCTGCCTCCAGCCACTTCCCAGGATACTTTGATTCCAGAATTGTGTCCACTTGAGAAACCCAAAAAGTCTCTCTTTTTTTTCTGTTCAAGTATCCTCTGTTACCCAAAGCTAGGGATGTCAGCTAGGTCTAATGTCCCAGGGCAAAGACCACAGAGAGAGCTATGGCTAAGGTCAAGGCCTGTCTTAAATTTCATTATATATTTCATTATCGCTAGTTCTGTTATAAACCCAGCTTCTCATTCTTGCGAGATCCGTGTTCACAAAGAAAACCGACCAAACCCCACCTCCACGCCATGTGCTCTCTCAATGGAAATGCCCTTCTCCTTGTGCCTCTCTGACCAAGCAGACGGGAGGGATCCTGTCTGATCCCCTGGACTGACATCTTAAAATGTCAGCATCCCAATTTCCATGGAAACCTCCGCAAGAGCCACCTCTAATAACAAAGCCTCTTAAGCTGCCTGGATGGTGCTCATGAAGCGTAGAGCTGCCCTTCACAGTCTGGGCCGCACTTGTCCTTAGTGATAACAGCGCCTAAGATTGTTCTCGTGACTTTTTATTTGGTGATAGAGTGGTGAGATGTTTGGTTACTTCTGTTAAGCATCCAATCCAGGTTCAAGTACGGCTTGTTTTATCTCTGCACTCACTTAATCTAGAAAGGTCCCTTCACCCTTCCCTTCCTTTCCTGACACTGACTGTTTGGAGATTTCAGAATGTCCCAAATTGCTGCTCTTATTAGATTATTTCCTCATAATGTCACTTCCCTGGTGTCTATTCCTTGACTCTCCAGATGTTAGGTCTAGAACAGTGCTGTCCAGTGGAAAGACAATGGGTGCCACATGCATAATTTTTAAGTAGCCACACTTTTAAAATTTAAAAACAGGTGAATTTTAATAACATACTTTATTTAACTCACTATACCTAAAACCTTATGGTTGCAACATAATCAGTATTCTTACAATTATTAAGGAAATATTTTACATTATTTCCTTGTTACTAAGTCTTCAAAACTTGGGACCCAGGTTGCACTCAGAGCACCCCTCAGCTGGGACTGGGCCACCCCCTACCCGATGCTGGGACAATGCAGGTGCAGCCCAGCCCTCCTGTCGGCTCCTCTTCTCGGCTCCCAGCCCTTGTCCCTCACGTCTGCATGTCCATGAACGAACATGGGCCCTCCAGAGCACAGGGGTGGGTGCCCTGGCACAACAGGTGGGTCCTGCCCAAGCCCAGTCCTTCACTGTCACTCCTCTGTCCCCCCTTCTGTGTAGGCCAACTCCCCCTGCCCGTGAGGTCTACTCTAACTAAATAAAAACAAACACAGCCTTATAACCATTAAGAAAAACGTTTCCTCTTCCCCATCAATCAACAAAATAGAGTTGAAAACTGTTCTTTCCCGAGGAAGGTTTAGAGCTCAGATAGCAACGGCGAGGAGGAAACTGGGGCAGCCTGCCCAGGAAGGGGAACCCTGCGGGCGGGACAGGGAGCTGACAGCTCCCGGGGCCTCTGAGCGCCCGCCCGTCGGAAGCAGCTCGGCCCTGAGCAGCGGCCCTGCAGTGCCACCACCGGGACGCCCGAGGAACTGCTCCGTGGTGTCTGCAGCCCAGAAGCATCCCACAGGCAGGGAAACCAATTCCCGCTCAGCTCCGGCCTTCGCGAACTTCCAGCAGGGGGGACGCGTTGGCAGGATTCCCCGAGGGCCTCTGAGAGCGGGGACCCTCCCGTCTGAGCACGGGACCAAGAGGGTAAAACCAAAACTACGATTTGAATGCCGGCTTTGTTTACAGCCTGTGTCCTTGAAAGGTCGCCCGCCTGCTCCAATATACCATCTCCAGGTGTGAACAAGAAAGAATGTCATCAAGCTCTCTTAGAGGACCCTGTGGGGAAATTCAGCACAGGAACAAAATCTTGTCAATACAGAGCATTAAGCAGAAAAGAAAAAAACGACACCAGGCCACCTGACTCCACTCCAGAGGGAAGGACACGGATGGAACATGTAGCAGGCGGAGCAGAACTATCTCCCTGGCTCAGTCAGCCAACGTGAGAAATAAAATCGAATTTGGGGCATGAAAAATGGGCTATTTCTCTTAGGTAGCCAAACAATCCATTGTGTATTATCTGCTCCAAACACATGTGCTCAGTGCTTGGACAAGTAGTGTAAAAAAAGCCTTTTATTTAGAGATGATCCTCCAAATAACTTAAGTTGACATTTTTACTAAAAGGGGGGTGTGGAGAGAATGCCAAAACAAATTCCACAAAGATCGTAAGAAGAAAAGCAAACGTCCCAACTAAGAAACAGGCTAACACTACATAAGGAGCGTGATTACACAACATAATTTATATAATAAAAAACGGCAAATATAAAAAACGTGTGTAAGTGCCCTGGCCGGGTGGCTTGGTCGGTTGGAGCGGCTTCCTATAAAGCATAAGGAGGCGACTGATTGATGTTTCTCTCTCTCTAAAAATCCATAAAAACGTATCCTTGGGTGAAGATTAAAAAAAAATTTAAAAGAAAATGTATAATCTAGTAAGTAAAGAAATTCAAAACCAAGTATCATTTTGCCATCAAGGAAACATAAAACAAAGAAAATCGGTAACATTGAAGTTGATTCACTAGTGGGAAAATAAATTAGTATACTCTTTGGAGGGCAAGTTGGCAACATTTATATAAATCCTTAAAAACTGACAGGGTTTTCTGACCACCAAGGTAACTTATGGTTACTCACCCTGTATCCAGCTGCAAGCCCCGGCTGTGGAGGGAAATTAAAAAGATCCTGTCATCTAACCCCGGGGGGGTTCATGACATGAAACAGCTACAGCTGTTCAAGGGAATACTACGCAGCCACTAAGAAAGCATGTCAGATGCCTTTACAGACTCAAAGATGTTCTTGAACTTTTACACAGGGGGAAAAAGTTAGGTGACTAGAACAAAAAAAATTGCATTTATGATCCAACTTGGCAACTACATACATATGTGTGTCCATCAAAGGGACAAAACAGCCCTCCGAGGAGGGCACACAGGCTGTGTAGGCCGCTGAAACGCATTGTTTTATAAATTTTTCCCCCTTTAAATAAATACATAAATTTTTTTTTCCAGTTTTATTTTCTGAGGTTGCTATAATGAAATACATGGCTTAGGTAATAAAAAAGTAATTAAGAGCATTTCTTAGAATAGCAAAAAAACACTCTACAACAGGCTCCCAGAGCTGCAGCAGGACAAACAGGAGGAGGGAGCAGGCCGTTCACCGGCAGGTTCAGAGGGACAGCCGGCCAGGGCGGCCCCGCAGCTCACACTGAGCCTCGAGGCTCCGGCTTTCCCAGATCCATCGGAAGGTAGACCCAGAAAAAGTGGCATTTCAACACTTCCCATGTTACTTGAGAAATAGAAAAGGCAGAGATATTTAAATAGGACTTAACTAATAACATACCCATGCACCAACTAAAAAAACAAGTTCTGCACAGTTCCTGGCGGAGGGCGGCACCCAGGCAAGAACCACATCAGGAGTGACCACAAGAGGGGCTCAGCAATTTTTAACTGAATTCATCTCGTGGTAAGGTGTATTTTCAGGATTCTATTGCAGTACTTACTTCATAAAAAGATACGTTAAAAAATACTCAGTGTTAAAAACATGGCTGTAAAATATGGTATGAATATTAAATAATCCCAAAGGGTTTCCACGTCTTTCATGCTGAGTAGAAGGCATGAGCCTTTCCCTCTCCGGGTCGCTCGGACGGCCTCTGGGGTGCGGCCTCAGGCGGTGTACCTCCTCTCCCCCTCGTGTTTCCCCTTGTGGTACTTCACATAGTCGCTGTACAGCTCCTTAAACACGTCCCGGACTCCGGGCGGCAGTGAGGCCCGGAGGAACTGGATGTCCGACTCGGTGCAGAGGTCCAAGATGAGGAAGATGCCCTCCTGCAGGTGGCCTTTCACCGCCGGGTACAAGGTAACCTGGGAAAAGACACATCCCTCCGTGAGGGCGAAGGGGCAGGGGCCAGGCCCTCGGAGACCCGACAGGGAATTCCAACGTCTGCCTCCAACTGGAGAAAAGATATCCCCTTGCAAGTATCATTCTGCACACACCTTACATCATTGGATCTTCACACCTTACAAGTTTATGTTTTGGGGAAATAGAAGCCAACTCAAGTGAACAAAAACCTGGAATAATATACCGCGGGGTAGCCTGGCCGGTGTGGCTCAGCTGGTTGGGCACCGTCCCAGGCACTAAGAGGTGGCCGGTTCTATTCCAGGTCGGGGCACATGCCTGGGCTGTGGGCTCGATCCCCAGTAGGGAATGTGCAGGAGGCAGCAGATCGATGTTTCTCTCTCCCTCTCCCTCCCTCCCTCTCTAAAAATCAATAAAAACATATTTTAAAAAAACAAAACATCATAGGGATAGCTTTGAATAAACACATTATGCCTATGTGTTTACCAGGGGCATTAAAAACTGGACTCTACATTTACAAATCATAGTAAGAGCCGCCTGCACATTGTGTTAAATTCTTCCACGTGTGCAATCACACCAGAAGCGGTGTTTACTCCTCGACTGAGCCCACCTACCCCCGGAGCAGGGCGGCCGGGTGAACAGGCCAGGAGCAGGCAGGCTCTGACACTGTCCAAACATCGCTGCCAGGCCTGCATTAGCAACTAGATCACATTAGACCACCCAGTATCACATGTGATTTGATTACCACTTAATGGATATTTCAGCAATAGCACAAGGGGCCCTAAATTCCTAACTGCCCCGAGTAGTTGGATTGGTCCCTGTGCCTAAAGGACCGATTTCTTTCCTGAGATTCTGGGTTAACTGAAATCTGCAGCACGGCAGGGGCCTGGGCAGTCCAGCTCTGACACGGCTGTCTTGGATATCACGCACAAACTTTCAGATCAGAGATTCAGACTAATAGCCAGACGAAAGGCCAGGAGAGCAGGCCCCACGCGCCATCTGGGACAGCTGCTCAGGTTCCAGCTGAACCTGGCGCTGAGCAGGGTCTGAATAGCCCAGGAGTGGAAAACAAAAGCAGCCGAAAGGTCCCAGCTGGGAGGCCTGGGATGCGGCTGCATTTTTACTAATGTTCTGATGACCTACAAGAGGTCACCTGCAAACCACAAGGCCTCTCTGCAAACCACAGCTTCCCCGAGGAGGTGTCTTATTAACTGGGAGGAGTCTGAGTCGCCACGGCAACCACTGGGAGGCAGATTCCTAAAGAGGCCGTTTGTGTCTGTCACTGAAAGGATGCTATTCTTCAAAGTCATGATCATTTTCACATGATCGTTCGAAAAAACCGTGACAGGTGATCATCTTAAATTGCACTGTTTTATAAATAGAAACACTCCAGACGGGGAGGAGCACTGCCTTGTCTGTGGATTCCACAGTCAGGCACCCGGAGGCAAAGAAAAAAATAAAACAAAGGACAAACGAAAAAACAAAAAAGTCCTCAATCTTACTAGTGGGGCGAGGGCTTTTTAACTTGACTGCTCACTCGTTCATGCAGCCATCACACACTAAGCAAATAATTCCACTTCCAAAGGCCAAAGGGGCGAAGGGACTTGGGCAGTGGCAGAGCTGAGGCCTGAAGCCACGCTCGTCACTATCCGTTTGCGTGGATGATGCTGCGTCACCGGCGTGGCCCAGAGCAGAGAGCTCCGCCGGGCAACAGGGGGCCGGAGGTGTCAAACCCACACGGCCATCGCATCTCTGTGTTTCAGGCGACTTATTTACAAAACAAGAGAAAAAAGTCAATTTCTACGACACTGAGATCACTGCCCAATAGATGAAAACAGCTCAGCGGTTTAAGAGAACCTTGGGCAGGATGAACACCACAAACCACTGCTCTAAGTTCTCATCGGGGGACAGCTGTAAATCTGATCTGCGAGTAAAAGAGAAAAGTGACCCTAAAGGGATTCCCTGCCTTGCCTGAACCGTGACTCACGGCTGCATGGAGGGACCGAGATCTGCAGGAGTCGCTGCTGGTTCCGAACGACACGGTCCCACCAGGTCATCTGCTCCAACTGCTGACAGACCTGCACCCACGCCCACTCCACAGAAACACGGGGGAGTGCAAAGGAGGATTCCTTAGCTGTGCTTTCTGTCCAGCAGCAATTAATCTCAAACATGTCTGTCTGGTCCAGAGAGATTCATGGCTGTCTCAGCGGAAGGCTCCAATGCATATGGCATATTTTCTGCATTACTAAATTGAAAAACAAACGAGAGAGAAAACACAGGCTCTCCTGCCAATGGACTCTGGGATACTAAAGTCTTAGATAATTCCCAAGGCCTTTGGGCTTTCCGGAATAAAAATTAAAAAATAACTGATAAGCATAAATTAGACACAAATGAGGCCAGAACACCAGAGACCTTTCATAACGTAAATCTCAGAGTAATAATCAATGACTTCAGGGTTCGAATTCGTGACTCCCTTCTTGACCCTTAGTTACGTGATATCACTGTGTCTCTTTCTTCAGCGAAACAGAAAATTATGTCAGCTTTTTCTTCAGCAAACGCCTACGTACTAATGACTCGAGGGCTTGGGAAATATCAAGATTGTATAAAAATGGTAAATAACTCCAAGGAAATCAGACTCTAAGCCCACATCTCATTCAAGGGCTATAGGAAGGGTCCTGGCTTGCTGCCTCAGTGCTTACACACACCGGGCCTGGTGGGGACCAAGCTCGCACCCGCGGGCCAGGCTGCCTCGCACAGTGTGGCCCCTGCCCACCACCCGCCCAGTGCCCAGGCATGACAGGCATCTCCACTGGCTGAGGTGAGCGGGGCCAGTGGGTCTGCAATTACTTAGTGGTGACGGACTCCTCCTGAGCAGCGTCAGGAGGAACCTGAAGCCACCAATGTTTGTGAGGCTGTCCTCTGGTCAGCCTAATGGCCCCTGAAGATGCGGCATCTCCAGCGTCACGGGTTCACTGGTGGTTGTAACACTGTTCCGCTGGTGTCGCCACCATGTCATCCACTCTGAGGGCCTGAGCACGGCTGAGCCACATGCACACCGGACCCCATGGGTACAGATCAGTGAACTCCTGCTGCCGAGGGGCCCAGGACGCACCAAGAAGCCTGGTCCCGTGAGAGCGCCTGTCCTTGAACCCGGACAGCATTTCACCTCCCTGATTATTCAAGAGACTAGAGACTCTTGAAGAGGCCCCGAGGTTCGTGCTGGGCAAGGAGGAGACCTAACATACCCTGGCCGGTTTGGCTCAGTGATTAGAGCGTCACCCCTCAGACTGAAGGGTCCTGGGTTCGATTCTGACAAGGGCAGGGACCTCAGCTGCCGATTCCATTGGGTGAGGAATTTAAAAAAAAAAAAGAGAGAGAAAGAGACCTAACGGTTACTGAGGGCCTTCCACATAGCAGAGCTGCAGCCCCTTGGACGTCACTTGGTCTAGTCCTGCAGGGGTGGGGCCCACACCCAGGGGCGTGCGGGACACCTGCCAGGACAGGATGGGCGGGCCCAAAACGGCGCTTGCCGCTTTGGTCGGGAAGCTACAGAGGACTCCGGGTGGGAGCGCTGGGGACAGGCCCCGAGTTCACTTACCTTCTGCACCTCGGTCACGAACTGGGCCACCATGAACGGAGAGAACACCGTGAAGTCCTCGGCCTGAGCGGCGATGTGGCTGCACATTCTCTCCACCAGGCGCGCGCACCCCAGGACCGCCGGCAGGTCGTCTGCGCCCCCTGCGCAGCAGAGGTTCCAGACCCGTTAGTTCAAGACCAGGAGCTTTGGCTCTCCTACTTTATACTTAAACCTTCCGTCCCCCCCCCCNACGCAGCAGAGGTCCCAGACCCGTTAGTTCAAGGCCAGGAGCTTTGGCTCTCCTACTTTATACTTAAACCTTCCGTCTCCCCCCCCCACTCTTTAAACAGCTTATTTTGCAGACGGAATGAGGGAGACACAATGTGTTCGAATGTTTATCTACATAACAAAGGGAAGAACACTTAAAATACTCAAGAGTCAGGGTTGTTTTTCTAAGTCTGTGAGAATAACGGAGATTTTTAGGATGAAATCTAGGACAGCTGTTGTACTTAAAAAGGAGATAAAACTGGTTTTTGACATCCTATAATCTTAAAGATAAAATGGCCTAATTATGTCATTGTCTCCTTATGTTTCAGAAATTGTGGACTTTTCTTTTACAGGCAGATAAATATATACGTATATAACATACGTATGTCTTCCCAGACTTGCTTCTGATTCCTAGTTCTTTCCACCGTAAGGTGCGAGGGCCATCCAGACCCTCCTGAACAAACCCCCTAACAACTGCAACAGGTCAAGAGCTCAATCAAGACTCCTAAGGCGTTAGCCACAGCCCAGGTCACCGGCTCCCGGGGCCGGCGCAACGGAGCCCAGGTGGGAGCCCAGGTGGGAGCCCGGCACAGGCCAGAGCACCTGCCCCGCTTTCACCACTCACCAGATACACCCACTTCCATAAATTCTAGAAAATGCAAACAGATACAGTGACAACCAGACCAGTGGGTGCCTGGCGTCCGAGGGGGACGCACTGCAAGAGGACGCCTTCGGGGACGAGGCAGACATTCTGTATAACTGTCTACTTCACGTCCACGCAGTTTTACTCCTCTATCATGCCTTAATAAACCTGGTTTTCGGAATGTACGACGTCTTTCTTAAGGCTTTGATTGCGCATACGAGCATCTTGTGTTCGTGCAATTTTTCTAGATCAATGAAATTATGTAAATTGTTAACATCCGCTGGCTACTTAAAGCGGGCGTGCACTCCCGTGCGGCACTTTAACACGTAATACACGCTGCTGCTTCCCTCCTTGGAGACCGCTCAACCTACACATGCAGCTGGCAGCACCGCGCGACTTAATGCGCGGTTATTACAGGGTGCAGTAGATACCCACCGGAAGAGAGTGAGTGGTTACAATTCTCCTCGGTCAGGCCACTGACACTCCAGAGGACCGAGTCTTGGCAGATGGGAGACGACTGAGCTGCACCAACGTGAAGGCAGCAGAGCCCCGTAGCACAGAGCCCCGCGCGTGCAACGTGCCCCTGCGTCCCCTCGGAACAAAGGACACACGTTCGACGACACGCAGGACACGCCTGTGGCCGGGTGGGACCAGGGCTCCGCGCCATTGCCTGGTGAGCTGGGACCGGGGCTCCCCTGCGCCGGGTCTCCCACCTCCTGTCAAGCAGCCCACACGAGCCAGAGCAGGGCTTCTTCCCTGCTGAGCTCCGCCGTGACCTCAGCGGCCTCGACACGGAGCTGCAGCTGGCCACCACCAGCCGGCCGAGGCTAACGGGGCCTGGAACCCGCTTCCCAATCCTGCTCCTAATATATTCACAGTATCGCATCGAGGCGTCCTCTGCACCAGGCACGGGAGAAAGCCAAACACCCTCCTGTGCGATCCCCAACTAATCCCCAGACCGGGCGGAATAATGTGGGAATTATAGGGCAGTGTAGACTATACCCTTTCCCTCTCCTCAAAAGTTAGTTGGTTTAAGTAGTTACCACTTACATCTACAAGTCTGTACCTATCAAACTGACGCACACTGCGGGGAGGAGTTAAGAGCTGCTCATGCATTTCTAGTCAGTCCAGAGCCACGGCCCAGGGTCTCGCCTGACACCAAGTTGACTTACACGCCCCTCCTTTGAGGCCCCAGGGCTCCCGCCGCACACCCTCTGCCTGCGCTTCGCACAGCGTCGGGCATGAGGCCGGGCCGCGCCACGCCACACAAATTAGAAACAGCGCAATACAGACAGCCTCGCTTTATATGCAAATTTTTCATGAATGAGCATCCATCCCCAAGTTAGAAATTTAGCAGGAATCAACAAACTTCAAGGCTGGAAAACAAGCTGTACGTATAATTTATGCTCCTGCCGTGTGGCAGCCTGCTTCCCTGGTAAACACACAGGACTTGGCCAAGACGGGGCCGGAACAATGAAATGAGGAGGGACTTGCCCCTCTTATAAAATGAGATAGGCCCATCCTGCCCCTTCCTTTGTCATCTCCCCATTAGAATAGAAGTCCCTGAGGCCAAGAATGGAACTGCAGTCGCTCTTATATCCCCTTTATATGAGCGTAAATATTTCCTGAACCTAGATACTATTTTTCCCCCCCCAGAAAAAGAACTATCTCAATTAGAACCTATCAAACACATTTGCTGTTCTGATACAGTAAACACTGTGACAGTTTGAAATTGCTTTAAAAATAGTTTTCAGCCCTGGCACGTTTTGCTCAGCGGTTAGAGCGTCGGCCCTCAGACTGAAGGGCCTCAGGTTCGATTCCAGCCAAGGACACGAACCTGGGTTGCAGGCTCGATCCCCAGGCCCAGCTGGGGCGCACGCGGGAGGCAACCAATCAGTGTGGCTCTCACATCACTGTCTCTCTCTCTCTCTCTCTCTCTCTCTCACCGCTGTCCACTCTCTCTGAAAAGCAATAGAAAAAATACCCTCGGGTGAAGATTTAAAAAAAAAAAAATTATTTTGAGTATGCGTTTGATGGTCTGAATATTTCTCTTAAACTCAACCGGGTGGTTTTATTTTCAGTAACATATGTGGCCGGAGACACTGCAAAAGGAACGCATCTGAAACCGTGCAGCTGATGCGGTGACCGAATTACCTTTCTCTTTCTGCCGTCCTTCCTGCACGACTGAAATCACCAACCTGTGAAAGCAGCTCAAAAAAGAAGGGATGGCTTTCAGCATTACCTGTGGTAAAAACAGACGAAAGAAGATGAAAATATAAAAGTAATTGTTATTTCAGCCTCTTTAAAGGAGCTCATGGTTTCCTCCCTAACCTCACCTATCGGGACGCTCAGAACAGTTGTGGCGGCTTCTTTTGCCCGGACTTTCTGGGGAACTGCTCACCCACCTGCCTTACTCAACTCTTAACATTTAAGGTCTGAGGCAGGGCTCCCACGCTGCAGGACGTTAGGACCCAATGGGGCAATCCTAGTTCAGAATGTGCTAGATCTGTCTCCTACTGTAAGCTATTAAATAATAAAAGGAACAATAGCCAATGTATTTAAATGTAACTGGCACTGGCCCAGCCAGGCCTGGCCCAGCGGCTGAGCATTGACCTAGGATCCAGGAGATCGCGGTTCGATTCCCGGTCAGGGCACAGGCCCGGGTTATGGGCTGATCCCGTCGGGGGCATGCAGGAGGAAGCCAGTCAGTGACTCTCTCATCACTGATGCTTCTATCCCTCTCTCCCTCTCCCTTCCTCTTTCTGAAATCAATAAAGATATGTTAAATAAATAAATATAACTGGCACTGAAAAAATAGATTACATAAAGCAAATCCATTTAAAATAAGTATCAAAACTTCTCATTTTTTAGTGATGAAAAGAGCTGGCTGGGACTTGATCTTGGAAAGTAACATGAACATTATAAAACATGCCTCTCTTATACTCGACCCCCCTTAGGTCATGATCAGAACAACAAGCCACATGTGGCTACTTATCAATTAAAATTCAGTTCCTAGTCATATAGTTCCTAGACTTCATTTCAATTGGTCAAGACACACGTGGCCAGTGGTCACCGTGCTACATGGCGCAAATGCAGAACGTGCCCACCACGATGACCATCCCGCCCACAGCACTGCTCTAACTCTTAGAAAGAACAAACAATAAATCCAGTGTCGGAATTCTTTCCTTGGGGCTAACTTATCCAACCAGATTCATAACATCGCATTCTCTCCATCAAGTTATCCGCTCTTGCACTGTGTTCAGAAAGAGGTTATTTTTGCACAAGTTTCCAGAGCTCCGTCAGATCTCCTAAGGACCTGTGAATCCTCCGCTATCATAGGATTAAAATGCACAAATCCAGGGCCAGGATATCTGAGTTCGCATTCTGGCGTAATGGGTGATCTTGGACAGATCACCCAACCTTTCTGTGCCTGTTTCCACATCTGCAGAATGGGAATAACCAGTCGTGAGAAGGAAATAGCTACAACAGGTAAAGTGCTTAGAGCAGCACCAGCTGCCGATCACCCGGCTCGGTGCTCTGCTGGGGCCCCTGGGTTCACTTCGTGTGTCCATCCCATTAGCGTTTGCCTAAGCAGACGCCAGCCCGGTGCTTTCATCAACTCAGACGGACTACGCACACAGCCAACACCGACCATGCGCTTCACGGGGCCCCGCCTCCCCTCTCTGCCCCACGGGCAACCTGAGGGTGAGCAGCTGCCATTAGTGGCGTCACCCCTTACTGCAATTCCACGCCATTGTTCTTGTCAGCTCTCATTCAAGCCTCCTGCTGCTGAACGGCGTTTGTTACTGGTCTTGCAGGCCTGCACAGCTGACGCGACTTTCCTCAGCCGCGTGAAATCCCACGTCTTCCGCGGGAACCACAATTTCAGTTTGTAATTGATGCTACTGCATTTACACGGGATGGTCGCGTAAAACCCTAACAGTCCGCAGAGAGACGTAACAACAAAGACGCGGACAACACAGGCAGGGCCAGAGGCACCTGTTAAGTGAGGAAGACACTGGCGCGGGGCCCAGGATCATGCCCGCTTAGTTTGCCAGAGAATGAACGTCTGAAAAACTGCACCGCTAGCAGGTCTCTAACCTCAGAACATTAAAACTCTTAACCCGTGTGAACGTGCCTGTGGCTACGGGTCTCCACCCTGGCGTACAAGCCCCCTGCACCCCGTGTGCGGAGGAGGCGCAGTGAGAACATGGGCCGGAGAAATCCAGTCTAGAACCTGAGACTTAGACTTAGCTGGACGACATTGGCCGAATCATTTAGCTGCCCTGAGCCTCTGTTTCTTTTCAGTGAAATGGGATGACCACCTACTGCTTAAATTTGCTGTGGCAGTGAAATGGGACACATAGCAAATGCTCAATGCTGGAATCTTCTCTATGAGGCATATGTTTCTAGCACCAATTTAATTTAAAAGGCAACATATAAAGAACTGGAATTCAGGATGCCTTGCCCTCTCTACCCATCTGAACGACACACCCAAGAAGAAAGCTAAGCAAGTGAGTGGCATTTAAATACGTGACCTGCAGAAACAGAGTAAATTCTAATGAGCTTCCTTAAATAGCAAGAACACAACCATTGTTCAGTGGCAGATCCAACAAAGAAAAACTCACTCCAACAGCCCAACAGGAAGGTCAGCGCTTCTGTGCCTGGGAAGCCACTCCGGGGCCCTGCAAACTACTGGAACAACTGTTTACTTAGCAAATCATTTTATTTATTTATCCTGCAACAGTGAAGTTTTAATACCTGCCTTTCTGGAGACAAAAACCACCCTGCTAACAAAGAAAAGGCCGCCGGGCCCCTGGCCCCTGCTCACCTTCGGGTGACACTGTAGGACTGAGAAGAGCACGTTGTGCACCCTGGAGAAGATGCTCCCATACTCCAGGGGCCTCAGGTGGTCCAAGGGGACGGTCAGCAGGATGCTGAAGGCCAGGCTGACGTGGTGCGGGTTTCTGATGGCCTCCTCCCCCTGCCGCAGCAGCAGGGCCAGCACGTCCAAAATGGGCTCAACCACCGCCAAGGGCACAGGCTGCTCCTGACACGCCTCTCGGTTTTGGAGCTACAGGACAAGACGGAACAAAGGGAAGAAAATGAAGGCGGTTCTCCGAAGACGCGACGCAAACACTTCAGCAGGTCAGAGCTGAAGTGACGTAAGGAAGGATGTCCAAAGTCCCAGCTGCACCCGTGTGGCCAGTGGGCAGTCTGAAGACACAAGGAGGCAAGCGCCCCGTCTCCAAGGCCGACCACCATGGACCTGGTCATTCCGGCCACACCTCCTGTTGGACTCATCTACATGACAAGTAATTTCTTATCCGAGCTGATTTGTACAGTTTCTCAAAAAAATAAAACTTCACATCGGACACGCAACAATATCTTCCCAAAAAGACCATTAGTTCTGCACGTCTATAAACGTCCCTTGTTACATTTCCTAACAATCAGCGCTAGTTAAAGACGTTCAGTTACTGTTGTAGAGCAGAGAGAACAGACTCGAGATGAGGGGTGGCTCAGTCTCCCCCAGGTGACCGTGTGACCTGCGACCCCTCTCCCTGCGCGGCCATCGGTAAAGCGCCTCAGCCGAGGCCCCCAGGGCCTGTCCCTCACAGGGCTCACCTTCTCCTGGGCGCTCGAGCTGCGTTAACTCCGTGCTTTGCCCTTGAGCTTTATCTACGCCATTTCTAGCCTGGTGTCTGTATCAGAGCAGACCTGCCGCGCACACAGTCACCACTGCTCGCGAGCCACTCGACCGCTCTTCTCCCACTCCACCTGCCCCCCAACACACTCACTCCTCCCCCTGGTGCCACACACACTGGGGAGATGGGATTCGTCTACAGGGGCAGATTCCCAGGAAAACCACAAAGCAACAAAACTGAAGAACAAAGGAGAACAGTAAGCCCCTTCTTCAGCCCCTCTGCCCTAGCAGATGCTGCCCCAGGGCATTCTCTCGGTCAGCACTAGGGACTTTAAGGCATTAGGGCGGGGACCGACCGTAAAGCAGATGCTGATCTTTCGAACCGAAGTGTGATACTGACACCAGACTCCAGGGGACAGGGACACTGAGAGTCCCTACGTGAAGTCAGCTCTTGTTCGAGGGAAACAAAAAGTCCTGCGACCCCTGCGCACGTCACCAGGTGCCAGTGCACAAGGGGCGGGACTGTAACGGCCATCTATCTGCAACATTACTATACCATTCCGTGAAGCCGTATCGTCTCATTTTATAGCAGACTTTAATTGCGCACACGCACACACACACACACACACACACCCCTACAATGAATGGATGCACTGACCCGGCCGCTACATTTTGCGGGGACAAAACGAGCTCCAGAATTCCTTCTCACCTCATTTAAAGAGGCCTCCACAGCAGGCTCAACGGTCACCACGGTCCTTCCATTGCCTCCCGTCGGGAGGGGCCTGGCCCAGCCCAGCGGAGGCAGTGGCCCTGCACCCCAGGAAGAAGTTACAACCAGAGCTGATGAGTGACCTCCTGGATGTTAATGCCATTAAAACCAACACTGTCGCCCAGCATAAAAAAGCAAATGCTTCCTAATGCTCCTCAAGGCCCCCTCACACCTCCTCTACACCCACACCTACGAAGACCTCCACACGTGCAGGCAGACAAAAGGCAGCACACGCCCGGGCGGAAAAGCACCCAGCTTGCAGCCATGGTCAGCCCCGGAACACTGTGCACAAAACCAGGGAAGGGCAGACGGGAAGGGGGGTCGAGGTGCAGCACCCACCGTCAGGGCCGTGAGTATCTGGGGGCTCGCCCGCCAGAACAGACTCGCTTTCTCTCCGCTCAGCGGGCAGTTCAGCAGCAGCTTGATCAGTGTAACAGCCGACAAAATAGCCTAAGGAAAAAAAGAGAAAAGACTTAGCAGAAATCACCCAGCCTCTCAGAAGGCCAGCTTGGGGAGAGGCGGTCACTGGTGCTCAAGTCACAGAGCCCATTAGAGCCCAGGTGTCGGGGTCGGGGGCGTGGGCAAGACCCGCTGGGTGAAGCCCCGGGGTGAGGCTCTTTCTGCCACCAAACAGGGTCTAAATGACTAAGATGAGCAGAGCTGGGGCAAAGACANGTGGGCGAGACCCGCTGGGTGAAGCCCCGGGGTGAGGCTCTTTCTGCCACCAAACAGGGTCTAAATGACTAAGATGAGCAGAGCTGGGGCAAAGACAGGTCTTTTCAACAGCATCTCACTAAACCAACATGTGTGAGTCTGGACGGCCACAAACGGAGACAGCAGCCTAACTACAGACTCCGTCCGGTCAAGACAGTGTCGGGAGGAAGCCGCTGCAAGAACTGCAGGTGCTTACAGATAAGAGGAGGGGCCAGAAGGAAACACAGACAAAGTAAACAACCTGCTTACAGGTTGATGGTTTTAAACCATGAGATGGGAACTATGTGGGAAGGGGACTAACTTTACCGAGCGCCCGTGTCAGTGAGCGTCTGACCATGCTGGGCATTTTACCCCATCAATTTCAGACGTGCACCAGCCCCTCTCCCTCCCCTAACAGGGCAAACCCACAACCCACACATGCCCCTCTGACTCCCTCTGAC